CTTTCGGCAGCTGCCTCCACTGCCTTTGCCGAGGGCCTAACTTGTTTGCCGTCGCCTGGCCTCAGCAACCTTGATGGGCCCGATCCCGATGCCAGCGACCTGCTTGCGGGGTTCCTTGACGCGCCTGACGTTTCCAGCTTGCCGGCGCGGTAGTGGCCTGCACGAAGGGAGCTGGCCCCCACAACAACAGCATTCCTTTGGCAGCGGGGGGGGGGGGGAAGCCCTAGTGCCCGGGGCCCCTTAAGCACCGAGGAGCTGAGACTGCAGGAGCAAAAAGGCGTGAGAAAAAAAACCTGGCCGCCGTGCTAGCGGGCCAAGCGTGCGTGCCGCGGCCGAGGCCGCTGAGGCGCTCCGGGATGGTGCACGTGGGACGCTGCTGCGCTATGAAAGGCTGCAATGCTGCTCTAGTTGGAAATGCAAAGGCAAAGTCTGAAGGGCAGTCAACACCTTTAGCCAAGACTGAGTCTCGAAGGCCCTCAGGTATTGTGAGAATGTCGTGAAGCTTGTCTCTGTCCATGAAAATGGGCAAAGCGTTGCGTCGAGGTTGAGGTCGCGCAGGAGCACGTTCTCAGCAACGCGGGCTCCAGCGGTGCGCTCCAAGGGCACACTGCGCGGCCCTGGCCCTAACACGCCAGCGCGCGCACACCGCACGATGGTCCCCCAACGCTCATTGAAGGGGAGCGGCACGCGCAGGCGGCGCAAGGCCGCAGCCCGAAAGTGAGGGGTCGGGGACGCTGAACTCGGGGGTGGTGGGGAGGACAGTGCAGAAGCGCCCGGCATGGTCGCCTGCTTGGGAAAGGAGCAACGCGCGAGAGGCGGGATCAAGGTCAGCAAGTAGACCAGCCTGGTCAGCGCCCACAAGGCGCCTGAAACCAGGCCATGTCCTGAGGTGGGTGCCTTGGCAATACCAGCGCTGCCTTTTTTGACACTCCGGAAGTGCCAGTCGAGCACCACCACTCGCTTTTCAGCAGGGTGGCCGGTCCGCATCCAGACCGTGTTCCGCAACGCCCATCTGTCAAACCTCAAAGCTTTTGACAAAAAATAACCGATCTGTGTCTTATGCAGCCGGACACTAGCCTTGGCCTTTGCCTTGTCAACACGCAAGAGCTTTTGTCGGCAGATAGGAAGCTCTGGGCCGCCATCTCAGACTCCTCGGCCAGCAATGGTCCTTGGACGATGCCTTGTACGAAATGACACAGGAACGATGCGCACGGCCTTCTCCAGCCACTCCCCAAAACATCCAAGCCTTCGGTGGCGCCGCCGCCACGCCCAACAGGGCCCCAAGCGCGATCGCAAGCCCTCCCGCGATAATTCACGCCAGCCCAAGAAAGGGCAGGGGAAATCCAAAGGAGCCCTGCGCTCGCCAAAGCCAAAAGCAGATTGGTGCACCACCTGTAAGGGGTGCGAAATCTGCAAGCGCTAGCAAACCGGCCTTTGCACTTCCATGGGCCATAGCAAGCACACGTGAAAAGGCCCAGATCCTGGACCGGCGCAGGATCGGGCAGAAGAGCCATTGCCGTCCTTGCTCAGCACGCCGCATGGCGAGCCTTTGCCTTCGGACAATGCCATGCCATTCAATCCGGACACAGCCAAGCCGAACTTCAACCCGGACTCCAAAAGATTCTTTCTGGATGTGTTTGCGGGTAGGCTGCATCCAGTTACCGCAGCAGCAATAAGCCTTGGCCTTGACTGCTTCGAGCCTTTTGATCTGGACTATAATTCAGCGCGCAACATTCTCAACGATGAAGTTTTTGAAACCCTGCTCAAAATGTGTTGGTCAGGGATCATCGCATTGATCATGCTTGCCCGCCTTGCAAAGAATACTCCAGACTAAAATTACGCCCAGGAGGCAGCAGAGACCGCTTTTCACGATTCCAGCATCGCCCTGGAGATAGGATACGTTTCAGCCCTTGCCAGCCTTGCACAAGCCGGCAGAGGGCTTACGCTCTGCCCTGTAGACGTTCCTTGCCCAGAACATCTGGATGCTCGGCGCTCAGTGCAGTTTGCCCGTTGAGCACCTTTCTCACCCTGTCAGGCGCAACCCCTTTCTGAAGGGGGGGTCATGCCGGCTCCTGAGACTGCTAGCCTTTTCCGTGGTTGCTTGCGAAACACCAAAGGGGGGTTAATGCTGCCCCCTGCACTAGGTGCACCGCGTGCCCTAGTTGCAGTGCTACTTTCCAGCAACCCGAGAAAAAGATGCGCGCCTTCGGTCGGCAGGTTTGTTTGGAGGGTCGTCGGGTTTCAAGCTAGGAGCATTGCAATAGGTCTCTAACGCTTTGGGTTTTCTGTTCCCGAATGTTTTATGACCTGTTGTGAATCTCATGCGCTGTGGCCATTTTATGCTCCTAGCCTTGAACTAAGGCCGCACCCGCGGCCGCAGTCCGGGAGATTTGGGCGTGGGCACGCGTGCCGCGCCGTCCATTCGCACTGCCTTCGCCAGGACACGCCTGTCTGGCCCCGTTTTCAGCGCCGTGCATTCGCACTGCCTTCGCCAGGACACGCCTGTCTGGCCCCGGTTTCAGGTTTCACCGGGGGGCTAATGCTGCCTCCTGCACTAGTGTCAAAACTCTTGGTTGCTGAGGTGGCGCCGAGCTGCGCGGCGGTGCCGCCCTCATCGTTTTCGGCGTCGAGGTTGGTGGCAGGTGGGACGGTGAGGCGCGGAGCTGCTGCGTGCCAAAGCGAGTCAGTGGCTGCTGGCCTCGGCTGCGCACTGCCACCAGGCTGGCAAGTTCCTCACCTGAACAAAGAAGACTAACTCCTGGCCGCTGAAACGTGCAAGCGCTCAGCATCCCTCATGCCCCAGGCCTGAGTTAGAGAAGCCTCAGCTTTCCTACAAACAAGAAATCCCAAACAAGTTCCTCATCACAAACGTCGGCCACAGAACGCAGCGAGACCAAAGAGGCAACCTTGCAACGCCCAACGTGGGGGCAACGGGCCTGCCTTTCGCAAGGTGGACAAGCAGTCCCCGAACATTCGGGTCCTGACTCAAGAAAAAACAGCGCACGCTGAATGAGAGCGTGCCAGCTTGCAGCTTTCTCCGTTGGCCGGGCTGCAACGGGTGGGCAGCTGAGCTCAGCTCAGGGGCTTAACAAGGTGAGGCCACGCTGCGCAATTGCTCAGGCCGAGTTTTGGCCCACGGTTTTCCCCTTCACGGACATCTCAGCATGCACAGATAAGATTTGCCAGCTGCAGCTATGCAACATTACGCAAACAAGCTCTGTGTAAGGTTTGTCCGGCTCGCCGAGCTCGGGCAGGGGAGGTTCCCCTTCCCTTCCGCTCCGCCACGGCTGCTGCATTCATTGCTCGCTGTTTGGCGTTCCTTTCCTTCCTGGCAGGTCGCATCCTCGCTGGCCGGTCTGGCGCTGCCCCTCGATACCCGTTTACGGTGACGGCTCTTAGTTCCCTAGCCTCTCCTTTTTCCCCTTAATTGTGCTTGTCCTGGTGCCCGGGACCCCCGTTAAGCACACTCAGGCGCCAGCCGTGTTTCACCGCTTGGGCGTTTTTGACAAGCACGTCGCAGAAAACTTGAACTGGCCATGTAATGGCGGCCACCTGTAGCTTCCGCCTTCCGTGGTTTCTTGCGTACCCATGCTGGCCATCCCATGCTGGAGGGAGAGCGTGTTAGAGGCAGGATCAAGGTCAGCAAATAGAGCTGCGGCGTCAGCGGCGTCAAGCAACATTCCGGCAGCACCATCCACGCGTGTCATTACCAAAGTCTCCACCCTAGCTGCAAGGATCAAGGCGCAGCAGCTCGTCCAATGCGAAGGGCTGGAGGCTATCCGAACTCCGGCCTTGACCGCAGTATGTGCACCGAGTTTGCTGCAGCAGATTGGCAGACTGCAAACCCATCCCACCCCGCGCCAGCCAGGTTGTCAAAGTCAAAATATGCTCAGGAGCCGCGTAAGGGTTTGGAAAGGGGGCAAGATGAGGAGCAGGTAGTCGGCACGGGTCGCGCTGCACGCCGGCAGCATCAGCCACGTACTGTAAGTGCGGCGTGGCAGGGATACAGCACAGGGGTGCGTTTTGGGCTGCGTGCTTTTCGGCTAAGAATGAACGCGTGGCTGCTGAGAGGGGGGAAACCTGGCAGAGCCAACCCCTGCTTGGCTGGTAGGGGTCGATGTGGCCGATCGGCGGCAGGCCGTTGCGTTCTGTTGCGATGCGATGCTTGGGCTTGGCGTTCTGTTCAAGCTCGTTGCCGACCTCTTGCCCGAGCCCAGACAAATCCGCGCGGGTTCAGACGGTGTTTCTGTACGGTGCAGGATTTCGCTACCGAGTGCAGCTGTGCTTTTGAACCAGCACTCAGCTGCATTCGGTTTGGACCAGATGTGTTTGAAAATGTTTGGTAATTCCAGTTTCCTCAGGTGTTCCATTGGAGGCGATGGGCGTGATATGTGCCACACTCAGCTGCATTCGGTTTGGACCAGATGCGTTTCAAAATGTTTCGTACTTCGAGTTTCCTCAAGATTTGACATGTGCCGCACTCAGCTGCTTCAGTCGCCGCGAAAATCCTCACGATGTTGCCGGCGTGGCCTCGCAGGACTTCAGCCCCCCTTGTCTCCCCTCGTCTCCCTTAAAATGTGCCGCAAGGCCGGTCAAGGTGGCAAGCGGTCGTTCAAGCAAGTGGCTCGCTCGGCCGTATTGGTGTAAGGGGCTTGAAACGCGGGCTCTCTGTCAGTTGTTGTGCTGCAGCCCCAAAGACGTCCGCTCATCAACATCAAATATTTTTTCAACAAAAATGAATCAAACAAATTTTCATTATGCCGCTGAGTTTTTGTGATAGCTTTTTCTTGTAGGTGAGGGCCGAGCAAGGCTCGAAGCATGTCTTATGTGGGTGCTGTATGTATTGTGCGTTTGTGTCCGTCGCTTGTGAAGATCAATCATGTGGTTGTCGGTCGAATGCCAGGCAAAACAGGATACCACCGACATGCCACACCTTGAACAACATTTAGCTCACTGCAAACCAGCCAGGCAGCGGCGACATTCGCCAACTAGTTTGAACAGCTTTTGCTGCTTGAAAGTTCTGCTTTTGACGCATGTGGAAAGATGATTTCAAAACGTGCCAGGACCCCAGTGATTTTTCGGTTTGCTAAGCGTTGAATTTGATCGGGGAGTCGCTGACCACTCCCAACGACGCTTGCTGCTTGGAAAGAACTGAGGTTGGGCAGCCGCGGATGGCAAGGTTGTTGCGACCTCGGGCACCAGCAATTCAAACTGAAGGTGAAGTTGTTCGAATCTTGTGCTATTGTACAAAGCGCACCCCGCAGTTTAAGTTTCTTTCATTTTTTTTGTTTGAGTGTCATTTTCTTTTATGTGTTCCGCGGCCTTTGTAGCGAACTTGTTCGGCGTTCTGGTGTGCACGCCCTTAGTTTTCATTGAGGCCAGCCCCGCGGCCGAGCAGCCAAGGAGTGGCCTGTTGCTGTACAACTTGTTTCCCTCGTTTTTGCTCACAGACGTCAACAAAAACATCAATGCTTCTGATGTTTTCTTGTCATTTGTCATTTGTCAGTGATGCATCCTTCGCGATGAATTGGCCAGCGGTTGGCTGCGGCAGATTGGCGGCAGCCCATTGGACCCTGCTCTCAGCACAAAGCGAAGAGCGACGGCCAGGCGTTTTGCTCTCCGAGCGGTCCGAGCCAGATTCAGAAGCTGCGCCACCAGGGGAGGAGGCAGACCTCTTCACCGGTGCTTGATGCAGGGTGCTCTGGCTGTAGACCGTGGGCCCAAGCTCACAGACTGTGAGAGGGTTTCTCGTGGAAGATAAAGGAGCTTGAAACTGGCACTGCCGTTTTGCCTCAGGCGCCTCCCACCCCCTGGAGCTCAGCGAAGGTCGGGCCACACCGCAGAGCCGCTTGTGCCCCCTCGCTTTGCCGTGCCTGCGAGGTTCTGCCCACCTCCCATGCCCGCAAGATCAGGTGTGGAGCCGGGCATGAGATTTCGACCCGCGGTGATTATGATCTCCATGGTCAAGGGACTCTCATTGATTGCTTGAAATCAAGAGACCACCGGTCCCTTCCAGCTTGAGTGGCATCCGCCCAGGCGAGGCAACGTCACAACCGGCCTGCTGGGCTCAGGAAACGCGGCGGTCTCGGTTTTACGGGCCGCAGAAGACCACACGTGGCTGCGTGCGTGCAGTATTGCAACTGTTCAGGTCGATGAGCAAACTCAGTTGGCAGACTGGGTTGGCAGCTAAAGAGTTCACAATGACTGCCAGTCACGGTTGCTTGTGTGTGTGTGTGTGTGTGTATGTATGGAGGTAATGTTATGTAATGTCCTGTACTGCAATGTAATGCAATGTAACGTAACGTAATGTAATGTAATGTAATGTAATGCAATGCAATGTAATGTAATGTAACGTAATGGTATGTATGCTTGCTTGCTTGCTTGCTTGCCTGCTTGCTTGCTTGCTTGCTTGTATGTTTGTTTGCTTGTATGTATGTATGTATGTATGTATGTATGTATGTATGCATGCATATATGCATGTATCCATGTATGTTTCTTTGTCTATTTGTCTGTCTGCATGCATGTATGCTAGTTTAGTTAGTTAGTTAGATAGTTAGTTAGTTAGTTAGTTAGTTAGTTAGTTAGTTAGTTAGTTAGTTAGTTAGTATTATTAGTGTTTTTGTTTGTTTGTTTGTTTGTTTGTCTGTCTGTCTGTGTCTGTCTGTCTGTCTGTCTGTCTGTCTGTCTGTCTGTCTGTCTGTCTGTCTGTTTGTTTGTTTGTTTGTTTGTTTTTCTATGTGTGTATGTATGTATGTATGTATGTATGTAATGTAATGTAATGTAATGTAATGTAATGTAATGTAATGTAATGTAATGTAATGTAATGTAATGTAATGTAATGTAGTGTAATGTATGTATGTATGTATGTATGTATGTATGTATGTATGTATATATGTATGTATGTTTATCTCGTTCGTTTGCCTGTCTGTTTGTCTGTTTGTCTGTTTGTTTGTTTGTTTGTCTGTCTGACTGTCTGTTTGCTCATTTGTTTGTTTGTCTGTCTGTTTGTTTGTTTGTCTGTCTGTCTGCCTGCCTGCTTGCTTGCTTGCTTGCTTGCTTGCTCGCTTGTTGGTCGTTTTTTTTTTTTTTTTTAGTTGTTGTATTGTTTGTTTGTTGGATTGTTTGCATGTATGTATGTATGTATGTCTGTCTGTATGTATGTATGTTTGCTTGTTTGTTTGTTTGTGTCTTGGCAACCCTTTCAATTTCTAAGGCGGAGCACTTGCACGAGGACGGATCGCTCGGATGGTTTTTGTTGCCTTGTGGGCCTCCAAGTGACTGGATGGCTCGTAGGAGATACTGGCGCTGACGAAGGAGCGGGTGTAGGCCTCGGTTGCGTGAGGGGCGTGAGGGACGTGGGCGTGAGACAGGCGTGAGGGATCCTGGTTGATCTCAGGATTCGCTAGCAGCTTCCTTGGCCTCTGCCTCAGGTGGCCGTTGGCCTTAAGATCATTGCGGTGTCCCAAGGCAAGCGCCCAGGCCGAGAGCGTCCAGACGCGAATGGGGCCACAGCCTAAAACGGCTAAGGGGTGAAGCGAAGCCGTGAAGTTGCAAGTAGCTGAGGTTGGAGCAGGCTGAGAGGCGGTGTGCGGAGCTCGCAGCTTAGCGCTTTAGATGCGTGCTAGGATCTTATGGCGGTGTATCGAACATAGGAACCCAAAATGGACCCTGGAAAATGGAAGCAAGGACTAAAACCTGCAGTCCCCTGATGGTTTAATTTGACCCATACCCTCATAGGATCTTGACTTTTTTAGTTGCTCGTTGCGCGTGCACTTTGACGGCAGTAGGGAGTCACGTCGCAAGCAAAGCAGGCTGGAGAGACTTGGCGGCGGCGCTGGGCTGAGACATTCAATGCCTTTAACCCCCCGCTTTGCCGGAGTTGAGACCTTTCAAAGGTAGCACTGATGTGGGTGAGAATGCAGACCTGCGGAAACAGCTTGGCACTGAGCTATCTTAGCGCACGTGTCCATGCAAAAACGTTTGGGCGAGGCTGCGCGCGTACGCAATTGAAGTGGAGAAGCTGCGCAGAGACATGGAAGGCAAGCTGGCCATGCCTTGCTTGATTCGGGCAAGCTGGCGTTGGAAGGCCTGCATGCCAGCAACTCGGTGTCAACACAGGCCGCTTTGTTTGCGCATGTCTCATTGCAGCCATCTCTACTTTCGGTTGCGGCATGTTTCGCCTATGCTTGTGGGGCCAGCCCGTGCCGCCTGCAAACAGGTCTTGCAGAAGATGCATGCAGAACGAGAGGAGCTGGAAACTGAGTGTTTCAACAGGGACAGCATTTGTCAAAAACCGCCAACTTACGCAAGTTTCTCCTCGCATCGTCCACCAAAGCGGGTCCCCCAATCCCAAGTCGTGCCCTAACCACACAGGGTGCGAGGGCCACGCACTGCTAAGAACCGAATGGAAATCACGGATAGTGCAAGATCAATACACTTCAAGGATTGAATGTGAAATTAGATTTGGACCCATTGGGGATCGCGCGTTGCAAAATGGACGTGACTAGAGGTTCCTAGGTTTGAGCGCTCAATCGTCTTCTTGCATGTAGGCTTGTCCCCATGTTAGACTCAGCCAGGCCCATGTTACGCGCGTGGCTCGAAATGCGCGCCGCCATGTCTCCATGTCTGAGGCTGCAGGAGAAGCACCTGCGGCTTCAGGATGAGCACCGGCAGAGCCAGCCTCCAGTCGCTGGCATGCTTGAGCTTGCGAATTGGATCGCGCTGAGACCTGGATGAGTGCAAGCGCTTGAGTGACTTGCATGGCCCGCGCCCGAGTCGGGCTCAGCGCGTGCATAGCACCAACTGAGAACCGAACAGCAATATGAGAGAATCACTGACACAACAGGATGCGGCATATGACCTGTGATTTGATGTGGTGTGATACGATGCGATATGATGTGATGTGGTATGCTATGATACGAAATGATATGATATGATATGACCTGATATGGTATGATGTGGTGCGAGCGTCATGTGTTTCCCTCAATGCCCTTTGTTAATACGCAGGTGGGCTCGCTGCTTTTTATCCGCACCTAAATGGGATGTGTTCCAAATATCAGAGGTTCATTTGATATTAAGTTGTCCAGCTTTCTCTGAATATCCAGTGGATTATTCACCCTGAGCCTCACATTCACATTGCACGAGTCCGCATCCCGCATCCCACAGACCAAGGCAGTGAACGGCAGCACCGGCAAAGATTGGAGTCTTTGGCTCGGACAGGATTCTGGCTTGCCCCATGTGAGAAGCTGGTGCCGCATGTACCTTGGCCCAGCCAGCAGAATTCATCCGTCTGAAAGCGCCTAGTTACTTTGTGGGTCTCGCAGTACGGATTCGACACAGCATCGAATGCAAATGAATCCTTTGCGCCTTCCAGGAAGCCAGAACAATAAGGACCAGGGTGACCAGGGCCCCTGATTTTGAGCAAAATCCTTGTGGCTTTGTAGCAAAAGTTCAAAATCCATTTTCAGCCATGGAAGAGGCAAGGGCGATGCTGGATGCCCTTATGGGACCGAGCCGAAATGCAACCGTGGGCACGGACTCGGATGTGCCGGACTTTGCTGATGACAAGGTGTTCTCAGAGAGTCTGACAAAGTTTTCTTCGTATTTTGGGCCGAGGGGCTCGGTTTTCTGTCAAAAGGTTCGGGCCAGTTGGAAGTTTGGTTCAGGTGTGCAAGAACTTCCTGGTGGGCTTTTGCCCTCACGACTGGTTCACAGGCAGCAGGCGCCGCGTGCCGGCCTGCAGCAAGATCCACTCAGAGCTCCTCCGGGAGAAGTTCGAAGACTATGAGGCTCGAAGGAAATCAAGGGAATGACTGACCCTACGAACCAGCTCAAGAAATCCTTGCAATCTGAGAGCTAAGGCGGGCGCGCGGGAGAAGTATCGACGGCGCTTTGAGGAGGAGTTTCTGAGGTATCTGGAGGGTGTGACCCGAGACTGCGACCTCTTCATCGGGCGCGAGAAGATCCGGTGCAGGCGAGAGCCATGGTTTTGAGTATGGAGGGCCGTATTTTTTTGTGGAATTTCAAAAGTGGGCATGCTTGGGTGGTCCCTTCAAAGTCAGGAACATTTGGTTCCAGAGGAGGGGTCAACTTGGTTCGGATTTGCTACCCGTATGGGCGCGCCTTGCAGGCCAAAGGGTGCTGGGGGCGTCACTACCCGCATGCCTTCTGACATCCAAGAGCTCTACGACAGGCTCGAGGTGGAGCACCAGCGACTCGTGAAGGATGGGCATGGGGCTTGCCTTCTTTTTGGTTTTGTTCAGGTGGTTTTTTCGCGGCGGCGGTCGCTTGGGCTGGGTTTCTCAACTGCCAGCTTCAGGAGGCGGAGGGGGCTGCGGATGAGTCTTTGAGCCGAAGTGAGGAGCTGACACGCAAAGCGCTGGAGGTGGAGGAGGACATGGCAGGCTACCGACAGAGGCCAGTGGTTCTCAAGATCCGCCTATTCCCGGGAAGAGCATCTTTATTTCTACATCCCTCTCTCTCTCTCTCTCTATACATATGTGAAGCCTATGGATTTACTGTATACGCGGACTCGTTGTGTATAGGTATATGATGAAACCGCCGCTGTGATGGTAAGTGCCTTTCTTTTGCCAGTTTTGGTCAGGCACAGAAATATGGCATGTGTTCCGGACAATGATGGCAAGATTCTTGGCGCCTGCAAGCAATGCATGTTTGCAGTGGAAAGCGAGCTGTCGCGATGAACATGAGCAACTGCTGATGCCAAAGCCTCTAGTATGTGGAAGGCTGCGATATTGTGGGCAAACCGTCTGAAGCCTGAAAGGGACAACAATGTGGAAACAGGGGTAACCCAGTAGGAGGCTGCAGATGAGTGTGGGTGAGGAGCGTTCCATCTGCAAGCTTCTTAGAGCAACGCAGGACAAGCAACTTCAAAACAAGTGCAGTTGCGCCTTCCAAAGTCTTCAACACATGATGCCGGATCATGACTTCGGGGAATCTGAGGAGAAGCCCGGATTCCCAATTCCCCCGGTGGACGTTCCGCGAGGAAATAAAAGCGCTCGCGGGGAAATAAAAAATGACGAAAGCAAAAATAAGCAAATGCGTGCGCAGAAATAAGCAAATTGCGTAGGAAAATAAAACTCACGTATAACAAACTAAACAAGCCCGCGCAACATCCAAGCCTCGTTTTGCGTAACAACCTCTACCTTATTTAGTTCTTGGCTTGCAAAGCCCATGAACAAGTATCAGGGCAAGAATCGCGCAAGAAAATTAAACACACAGATAAAAAATAAAACACGCCTCCGCAATCGCTCAATGCCTATCGCGCCACAATCCTTCCTGCATGTGTTTTTGTTTCAACTTCTCGGTTCAAACTGAACAAAGACTTGACAAGGAACAAACATCAGCACAGAATTAAGCCGAGTACGCGCGAAAACAAATTACACATGCGCAAAACATAACACGCAACAGCATAACGGCATGAATGGAAAACTTATACAACATTTTTTTCGTTCCCAGCTCAAGATTGCTGCTTGAAAGCCCGCTCGTATCTACATTTTCCCTAGAAGCATTGCGCAGTAGCAGAGTCGTTGAGTTCTGCGCAGCTCAACTGCGAAGAGAAAATAGGCAGTGAAATGCATAGAGGCATGCGTAAGCAAAGTGCACAGTGCAAATCAGAGAGGCACGCGTAGAGCAAGTGCCGAGGTATGCGCAGGGAAAGTAGACAATTTGATTGCCTAGAGGCATGCGTGGGGCAAGTGTAGAATGAAATGCATAGATGTTTGCACAGGGAAGGCTGCCGCCCCCCCCAACCCCCCCTCCCCGCGCCTTTAATTTGAATCATCATTTTTGAATCATCATGCGAGAGCCACTTTTTACACTCTTTGCCCCTAACTTTTCGATCCACTTTGTTGAACATCATGGCCCCCCCCGCTATTTTTTAGATTTTTTTCAGCCCCAAACCCCACCCCCCCCCGCTATTTTGGACCTTTTTGCACCAATTGAATCATCACTGTTTTTCGATCATCATTGGTGGGGATCACTTTTTCAATCATCACTGGGGGGGGGGGGGGGGGGAAAAATGGAGAAAAGGGGGGGCCTGAGGGGAAGAGGGAGGAGTGTTGGGGTTATTGGGTCAAATGTTGTTATTCAACGTTTTAACATCCTTGTTTGATTTCATCCTATATTTTGTTGTAGGGTGTTAGGGGTGGATTTTCTGGGGGCCGACATTTTTTTCATTTGAAAGAGTTGGCCCTTTTAGTAGTTATCAAGTTCTGGGGTGTTGGTGGTGTATTTGTTTTGTTAGTGTTTTTCTCACTAATTTTCATTTATAGGTTAAAAGTTCAGTATAATTATAACATATAAGATTTTACAAGTTATTATTATATTATGATTATAATTTCAGTTCAGGATAATAATCTAATTGATTTGTCTTACTTCTTTCATACATCATTTTAAAAATAATATTAATATCTCTCAATGTATTTTGAACATTAAACTTTTTACTTTCAATAAATAATTTGATATTTTCTTTAACATCTTCTCCTTTCTCTTGACTATAACCCAACATCCATAATATATCATCAATCATTCATATTTTTTCTTACTGATTTTAAGAAACTGTTTAATATAATCGTAAGGTGGTATTTTATTTACAGTTAGAAATATTAAAATCTCATCTTCTACATTTCTATTATGTATTCTTTTTATTCCCAACAGACATTTGATTAAAAATTGATTATCTCTCCATGTTTTACAATTTTTACATATGTCTTCTTCACCATCCATTGAATAATTATTAATATTATTCACTATTTCATTAGGTAAACTCAATTTATACAATTCCATATTTTCTTTTTTGAAGTGACAACAATCATAGCATTTTTTATCGATATAATTATTGATTCCATCACCGTTCATTTTTCTCTTAATATATAAGGTAATATTTCTTTAAGTAGTTTTGGCTAGGGGGTTGCTGGTCGGCTGGCTAAACCTTCTTGTTAGATTATAAAACAATGTTTAATCATATTATAATTAAATATTATGAATAAACAAACATCATATTTCATAATTATTAATTGTATGAATTTCAAATTTGATAAAGTCTATCATCACAAGGGTTCTATTGACTAATCTTATTGGACTCTTGATTTCTTTCACCATCCTTTCATTTGTGATTTGGAGTTCCTTTTTACTTGTGATGATGAGACCTCATTTGCACTGCTTTACTGGAAGGGAGTTGAACTACCCGAAAGGTCGTGTCATCTTCCCCAAGGGAGGGGAGATAGGACGAAATTTCCCCAAGGGAGGGGAGACATTTCCCCAAAGGAGGGGGGAAAAGGGAAATAATTCCCCCAAAGGAGGGGAAAAGGGAAATAATTCCCCCAAAGGAGGGGAAAAGGGAAATAATTCCCCCAAAGGAGGGGAAAAGGGAAATAATTTCCCCAAAGGAGGGAAAAGGGAAATAACACTAAAACCCAAATCCCGGACAACCCGACCAACCCTACATGTACCTGAAAGTAATTCTAATAATTTCATATTATTAGAACTATTTAGATAATTATTTTATGGAGTAATGTCGCGAAGCTCATTAGGCTATTACTTTGTAACAGCGTAATGTCGCGAAGCTCATTAGGCTATTACTTTGTAATAGCGTAATGTCCATATGGTAATGAAGTGAAAGCATCATTATAAAACCTTTTATTTTCATAATTACTGAGAGATTGCTTGACTTGAGACATTGAATATATTTGATGCGACTTACTCCTAATAAAATTATATGTGATTTCATGCTTTTTGTTTTGAAATAATGCTTCGTGGTAGTTCTGATACGACAGTTCTTTTTTAACTTTGTGTTTCACTACACCTTTTGATTTCTTATGTTCATCATCCTCACCATGAATTGTGAAGGCATATGATTTAGGTTTTAATCCAATGAATTTAGTAATGATTTTTCCATTCACTTCGTCCTTAAACATTCCTAAGACCTTTTTATTAGTTTTGTCAAAGCATGGATGTTCGGGTGGATAGTCGCTAAAATCCACGTGTTGCTTTATATCATTGAAATCCTTATAGACATCATCAGTCATTGTTTGAATTACATAACTGTCAGTATCAGTATATATCAATTTGATGTTTTCATTATACTTCTTTTTCAATACATCATAATAAAACTGATACATATGTAATTTGCTTAAATCTAAAATGCTCATTCCCAGGAAAATCGGTTTATCCAGTTTCAGTTTC